ACGGTGTCTTATGGTCAGATGACGTTCTTGGGTGGCCCCATATGTCTGTGGATTCCAACCCAGGACGGATATACAATTGTAGAGTCTATTAGGCTTTACCTGAAGCCTACTTCATCCAATCTTTTAACCTTCATAACAATCTTCGTTTGCTTTTCCATCATGAATGTGATCAGGCACAAATAAAAGTTGGTGGTTGGTAGAAAAGAATGGGGATCTCTCGCTGTCAAAGACAATGCCTGGCGATTGTATTAAAATGTTTTCCTACTGAGGATATACTCTGGGGTTTCAAAGGTAGAAAGTCATCGATCCGTCCCCAACCTCCAATGAGAGGAGAGTTGGTTCGACATTGCCTGCATCTAACCCCTGACAAGTCTGGGAAAGGCACACTCGCATTGTTGCAGATAAGGTGACTTTTTGCATGCAGAATACTAGTAATAACTACTACTACTACTACTAGTAACAACTACTGAAGCACCAGAGGTATACTTTCCCCAACATACATGAGATCATGATGTACCGACGCATATAGTTGGTGGGTTCACATTCGAAAGACGAAAATTCGCAAACTTATTATAAACAGACAAGAACTATGATTTCCCTGGGGGATAAAGATTGATTACCATAGGGATGCTATCAACAGACCTTTCCATTAGGTTAGAACCGGTGGTTAAAATTAAATGACTTCATCCGAGGGCTAAGCACATATATGTGCGTAAGCTAATCTGCAGACAGGCTACCCACGGGGATTTCAGGGCACAATGGCCACATTTAGTAAAAAGGATTTTGATTTAAGAGCCGTTGCTCGGTAATGTACCACTATGTAAAGAGATTTTGTGTGTGTTATCATTTAAAGATTTCGATCATTAACGGAAATTGTATAGTCCCTAAGAATTGACGTCGGAACGGAATGCACGCGATAGGACATGCTTACTCCCCGGGTGCTGCATGCTGTACTAGTTGCTGGAGCATTGGTCACGTACAAGCAATGGACGGACGGACGCGACAGTACGGACGGACGCGACATGATAGAATGGTATAAGCTATACGCTCGCTAGCGATGTGGTTTTATGGTAGTAACATGTGAACTAAGGCGAATGAAATTACTGAGTTCAAGTCAACAGACAACTTTATCGTTCGAGAATGACGCTGGACGCTGGATGACACTAAGTTGTAAAGTGGCACGTTAGTTTGTGTGCCTCACCGATTTATTGAGCCATGTTGGAAGGCGTTTTGTACACGTTCAGATTCACTCATACCAGATTAATTATTGATTAGTGGCCAGACAAGCTCAATATCCCGGTCCTTCAGTTGGGGGTTAGTGTGAGTGTGGCTCTTTATTCTTTTAAACGGACTCCTAGTAGCCTGCTGCCGCTCTTCCGCTTCCTCGCAGTCAGGTTTTTGAACCAAAGGCTTTGGTAGAGAACCCCAATAGTCCTCCTGTCGAGTCAATGACAAGCTGGTATTATCCTGCCCACACACCATAATGAACTTTTCTCAAAATACTACATTGATGCTCTAGATGTTCTAGAGGATAAGCAACGGCACCCTATCTCCTACATCGAGCAGAGTGAATAGGGGTGAGAGTACTACTGCTCAGACATTTTTGACTTCATTGAAGCACAGGCAATGCTGGTCTTCAATAAAACAAATATTCCCATTTCATTAATATGAATTAATAACAGAAACCAATTCAGAGTGAAAATTATTTTCGGTAAACCCTCATCGGACCCAAACGTTCACAAAACACTGATTTTGGGAAAAGCGTCAACTCAGGCTGGGATTGACTTCTGGACTGTTTGAAAGATCAAATCGATAACTTGAGACAGGGATATAGGTGGCATGTGAAGTGAACTAAATAAACTGACACTGTTAATTAGTTATTTGGTTGGTACGTCATCTACCTAATTACTTCGGACTACTGAGTATTGTATGCGTGTTTATTTAGTTCACTTGACATGCCGCCTATATCCCTGTCTCAAGTTATCGATTTTATCGTTCAAACAGTCCAGAAGTCAATCCCAGCCAGAGTTGATGCTTTCCCCAAAATCAGTGTTATGTAAACGTTTGGGTCCGATGAGAGTTTACCGAAAAGAATTCTTCACCCGATTTGAATTCTGATATTTTTCTCTTCTTATTCCCCGTTGTTAATATTTCCATCCTTATCCTACTGCCACCAAAATTTTACTCTTCATTGTTCTCAACCCTTCACTCACTGGCTCTCCTCCATCATGCTTTGATAGTCACTTATCTTCTAGTTTTGACTAACACGCAATCGCAGCTTGTCGCTTCGTTCCAGTCCACAAGTCCATGTTCATCCAAGCAGACAAGCTTAGTTTAGCCGCTACCATTTGGAATTCTCGATCCTCGTTGAAACTGGCATGCGAGAGAAAAGAGAAAACTTACCAAATCACCCTGTGTTGTATATCCGGCTCTAGTTTTTGTATTAGGTGAAGTAGGAAACTTTGAATCATCTTGTGTAATGCAGGGTAATGTTTGTTGTAAGAGCTGGTCTACTTCGTCTTTGAACGTAAAACCCATGATGATAATTCGAGTTGAACCAAAAGTTACCATTTAGTTGAGGTCTTCGTCCTCACTATAACATCAATTCTTTACAAGACATCAAACGAATTGTGCGCGGCGTTACTTTACCTTATGAAATGCAAGCGTCAATCTGAGGGTTTCTAAGAAAGTTGACCACCTGGCTTGTTTGGGAATCTGTATAGGATCACGAGTTGTCTAACAGTTAAAACAATATTCGGCGATACCGCAAAACTTTAAACTTCACTGTCACCATTATTTGGGCAACGTTCAATCTTAGTCCACTTAACAGAAGCCTGGTGTGGGACCGTAGTCCTGTACAGCTTGCCGCGAATCTTCGTCAACGTTTCCTCTTCAGTGCTCCACACTGTTTTATCGACATCTTCGATTGATGCGGTAGCTGCAGTTTACTTTTTCTTCACTTTCTTCCAAAACACCGAGCTTCACATGTAGTGCTCATCCATTTTCGGATTGCCATTTGATCTGGGAAACCCACACGATTACAGGCAACCGTTTTACACCCTTCCTCTTCTCCATGACCAGCTGTTCGCACAATACCCATGGCATCTAGTCTCGAAGTCTGCCGTCTCCCGACTCTTCCTCTTCGTCAGCAGCAGTAGACGTTATTTGTTTACGTAGTTATATTCTCAGACATTCATGAAGTGGACATTGCTAACATGCTACATTTTACTACGATTTGCAGCAACTTGATAACAGTCAGTCTGAAGTGGTGTATTCATCTAGCTAGCTTCTAGCTAGAAGAACACAGATGTGCAAAAGGATCAGCACCGAAGTGTTTGCATTTTGTTCTTCCGAGACTAGCTCTAAGTTTGTTGTAATTTTCCATCAAGACACTGCATAACACCGCGCTTTGTACTTTTAAACCGGGTGACCATATGATTTGAATAACCACGCTCAGTGTCCAGCCTATTATCCTCGCTACTTTATTTTTACCTTTCGCTTTGGATGACTTTTTATTTCTACTGCTGTTTGAAAGTATTTCTTTAGTATTCAGTTCAATCAAATTGCAGATGACTGTTTATCTCTGATGGTCTCCATGCATGAAGCACATTGTCTGATGTTTTCTGCAGACTATCTCCTTTGGTTCCCATCATCATGTCTTATTCTTAAACACCGTTTACCAACGGATGAGTTGGCACACTGAACAGATTCCAATGTCGAATTAGTAGGCTTGCATGATCAAAATCCTGCATCCATGCTCGTCCAACAAAGCATCCATGTGTGATCTTCAACTTTAGCCCCTATCTGGTCACCAATTTTGGATCTACAGTGGACAGCTGTGGTGTTTCGTCCACAGACGTTCAGCAGCCAGATTTCAGTCTGGAGCAAGCTTCTTCAGCAAACGTACTTGGATGCTTTGCAAAAACATTTTTGCAACTAATATCGAGTACTTTGCATTTAAATGGTTCACACTTTCTAAGCGCCCACAGAAAAATTCAAGCTGATGTCCTCAGGACGGGTTGACTGCCTGCTTCAGCTGCGAATGGTCTTCGATCGAACAAGTTCCCTTTCACCCTAATTGGTTTGAGAATACTGCTCCCTCGACCATATCCTTGTTATGGTTACCTATGGGAAATTTTAGCTGCTCCGCTCCACAAGTTGTTCATTAAAATTATCTTATCCACGTCCAGTTATTTCCTCGCTATCCCGATTGCTGCCAGAAAATAATTTTTCCTCATTATTGGTCTGTGTTGCTAATCTGCCATTAATGATGAATAGGTAAACATATTAATTTAATATGATGCCGACAGCTGAATGACTTCTCCAGAGTTAAAGTACTCACCGAGTTGATTAGTTTATTTTCTATACAGCGCATTTTTTTCCAACAGCCAACATTAATTCTCATAGGCTGAGTTCATGGACTTTCTGCGTAGTACTCTCTGATTCTAAGCGCTTTCTGTTTAAATTATTGTCCATGCTGAATCTTGCAAACCTCGTGGTTCTTGCCCACGGAATTCTAAGATTCGGGTTAGGTGATTTATTGGATCTCGCAAGTGTATACTTATGTGTACCGTGAGGATATATCGAAACAGTTGAAGATTTAGGACATTCGGCCACTTTATTGCTCCTCTCCAACATATATATATATATATATATATATATATATATATGTCAAAAAAAATCCGCTATTCCAGTGCAAATTTCGGTGTTGCATTTTTCCCCGGTAGTCCACTTAGAGCTTCATGGAACTACACACTGACCGGAAAGTGAATCACGTTGGAGAACCGAACCCTAGATGCCTCAGGCTATGGTCAACGTTTAATTGGGAGAGATTGTAATGCTACGTCAATGACGCGCTGCAGACTAACTTTGTCTGTGCGTTTTGGCAATGATGACACTGTCTCATCGATTCCAAATGAAGTACTTCCGGTTCCGCGCAATTTGACAGCTGCTCATTCGGTGTTCGTAGCGGATTATGGTCGATTCACTCACATGTCATGATGGTCATCACTCTAAATATTCTCTACTTGAGTCAGCTTTTAGAGAAAATGGCCAAGTCCAGTGAATGGGTTTGTGGGTATTTTCTGACATACCACATCTCCACAGTGTTTGTACGGTTACTTTGTCTGAATTACCGGCACCTTAGGTAGCAGTGGTGGGTGTAGATCACAAGCAGTATGATGCTAATAGTGCTCTCATCCTTTTTCAGCGAACATGCGAAACATATTCTTTTCTACTTCAGGTTGTTAATGTATTACGACACTCCGTATCCTACTTCTTGTGGGACTGCAACTGAAAACTGCGGACATCTTATAATAACAAATGTGTAACGTTATTTTTGGAATCCACGGTCAATTATTTATAGCGTTCTCAATTTTGTGGTGTAGACAACAGCGATTGTGTTTGTTTGTTGAGAAGAAGCAATGCATTGTATAGTGTGCTCTTGCACGGCAAGAATTCAGTGAATGAAACCACCCCTATGTCTACACATGCCACATGTCTTCCTTTGCATCTTCGCTCGGTGATCTACCGTCCATTCACATGAATCATTGTTGAGCACTAGTACTCGCTTTGCCGTGCATTTGGCCTGTACATCCGGGATTGAAGTAAGATTGATTAATTCCTGCTCCGGAATTCTTGTCCTGTTGTTGTTTCTTTTTCACCAATGAACCCTTAAAGACAATCACGTTGCTTATGTGTGGCAACTAGAATACGCTACCTCTCATGTACATTACGTTTTCCTTCCTTCCCAGGCCTCTCTGATCGCCCTGCTGAACTTGGGTGCTTTGGAATTATTCTACTCGGACTGTCGTACCTCTTCATTATCATCACATTTCCACTCTCTCTTTGCTTCACCACAAAGGTAAGCTGCAGTTGCCCTACTGTTGGTACAGGGTTACAGCCTTAGGAGCCGTTTCAAATACATACTATGGTGCCGTGTGATTTTCCTACTCGGATGAACAGTTCTAATTGTCCTTCGTCCAGCTAACATATTCCCCGATTTCCCTCTGGTGGGCTGGACTATTCCGTTACTCATACGTTGTCCAGATGCTTCGTAACTAGAACACTATAGAGAAACACTTAATGCAGGTGTGTTCTCCCAGGGAGATTTCGAAGCGCCCAAAGCAAGGAACTTGCTTGTATTGCAAGTTTTATCCAGCACTCGTTTAATGTTGATGTCTTTTGTTCTTTGAGGAAACCTGGCTTGAGTTTAATGCAAAAGTTGCACAATCAGGTAAGGTAGCTGCCGATTTAGTGCGCTTTGGTTGAGTTCGTTCCTTTAATGGAAACCGAAAATGGAAACGCACACAACTCTAACTGAACTTAGTGGCCGAGGTCTTATTTGTGTACATTCATTTAATTGCAATATTCTCCTGTAATTATGGCTATCCACCCTCATCGAAAGCAGAGCCAGGCACCTGCAGAAAAGCGAAGGGTACTACTGCTGTGTTTTCGACACACGTTTTCTCTCTAGTTGGCCAGGTAACATCAGTGTTTGCAAAAGAACCTGAAATTACGTTAGCTTTAACTGAGCGTTCCAAAACCGTTGAATAGCATATGAACTTGAAGATGTTATAGGAATTATCTGCGGCTATAGGACCTGCCTAACTGTCACTTTTCTTCCAAACCGAGATACAATTTTCCTTCTGTTGTTACCGTTTGAGCAGTCACCCAGCTAATCGTCTACTACCAAATTCTGATTAGCGACCAGCTGGCCTTCATAAGCGAGCATCAGCGACGTTATTTGTTTGTTAAGACCTAACTTGCAGTCAGTGAATCAATCATTTTTTATTATGTCCAGGTGATTGCAGAGTATGAACGTGCGGTTATCTTTCGCTTGGGACGTATCCTCCAAGGAGGTGCCAGAGGACCTGGTCTACTGTTCATTGTTCCATGCTTGGACCGTGTGCGTAAGGTGGACCTCAGGACAGTGACTTTCGATGTGCCACCACAGGAGGTAAGGCTGAGGGATTTATTTGCTACCAAACTGGTCATTATGCTGTGCTTTAATTTGTGGCTGTCTAGCTTCATTATTTACGACCCACCGACAAACCTATGGCAGCATTAGCAATCGCGGCACTGAGTTGGTAATTACTGCACGACAGGGTCACACGTATTCATTGTCGTAAGCACACTGCAAATGACACGGTTGTCACAGTGCTCCAAAAGCTGACTTTATGAGGTGGCTTAATTGACCTACTCAGACTCATGCCCCCGAAAACGAACAACTGTTCGAGAAAAAGCAACGGTAAATTGTATCCTGTTTGTACATGCCTCCAATCTATCATGCATAGCCTATGGAGTTGGGACCAACTAATAATGCCAAAGCACAAAAGCGATTAATTGGTGGCTCCTAGAGAAGGCGTCCCAGTGGCCATACTCTATGTTCTGATCAAGCACTATACACTCCCAGTGGGTATTGAATTCGCGCGACAAAATGCGCACTTGCTGCCGGAGGTTCACCAATTGCCAGCCTTCAGGAAATCTGTCCTTCAAAAGCCCCATAACATTTCAGACCTTCGGTTGATTTCAATCAACTTCGATGGCCTACGCGAGTTGATTAGGTTCTTGAACTCGGTGTGCACGACTGCAACATATGCTCCTTGTACAAACGCGAACTCTTTATGACAGCGACTCACCCTCTGACCCTTGTAATGCGAAGCCCTGTTCACAAGACTTGTGGTTATAGTGCTGTCGCTGGTAGTCTGCTGCTTACTAAGCACGTCGCGTTGCTTTTTAGTATGGCCCACAAAAACAATAGTGTTTGAACGTTGTTGAGGCCATAAAGGGATGTCTTTCATCATCATGTACTGATAAACATCACTGGTGAAATTGTACTACAGTGTGCTTTTCTGGTATGCACTTTTTGATAAATCCAATTGTATCGAATTATATCCCACCAAACCCGTACTTGCCGTCTATTTGAGTGTTATACTCTAACTCACCCAGGGTTTACTGCAAGTGACAAGAATTTGAACAAGGGTATAATTTTGTTTTTAAATACCATACGGATGACAACGCAAAGGCTTGCACCGATCCACAATACTCTGCATCTTGTGCCATAGCAAACAGATTCACTGATATCAACTAGCCCACAGGGATTCCCATAACCAAATTTGCAGCTCATCGACATTTACATGTCTTGATTCCCTCATTTACTTCTAGAATGTACTTTAGAATTCCATGTTCACTTTGGTAATGATGTCTTTTATTTTCGATAGTCAACCTACCGCAGTAACAATGCAGACGAGTTCAGGCAAATGAATGCTTTTGTCACCTCGTCAATTATAATCCACTTTATCTTCAGCCGCATCTGTTTTCACTGCTGTGTGAACTGCGCGTGTGCCTAACTGTGTTTTGAACATTAAGCATCCCGTTCGGTATTCGGCATTCTATAGAATAACCATAAAGTGTCGTAGCTGTCGCTGTTTTCGTTGTGCCGCAATCTTTTTGTACGGTTTCCTAATCAAGACAAAATATTCGCATTTTGCGCCCCGCGCGGATAAAGCTGATCGAATTGGGATTGGCACGCCCTGGGATACCAAGTCGTCCAACCGTTAATTCTTCGCTGTGCAACAAGAACACGGACCCCGCACTAGTATTCACGACCGCGAAAGCAAAATAGACAACTATCCTTAGCAGGAGTACTTTTACCGCTTATCCAAAGGTAGTGAATTGTCGGTGCAGCTTGGCAAGTATCACCTGATAACGTTGTCACTGATAAGGCGTTGTACAAATGTTGCACGGCAAGTGTGTGGCACAGTTGGAAGTTGGATAGCGAAGCTTTGTGGAACCAAGAAGTGTACAAAGCACAAATGTTCACCTCTTTAAGCATTACTTTGTTTGAAGCATATGGTAGGCACTTAAATTATCAGAATGTTTCGTCTCTAAAATAATTTATATGCTATACAGCTGTGACGATCCCACACCGTTTGGCTTGGAAAGACAGAAAATTCTTCAAATGTCCGTTTTCCACACTATTTCCAGAGGCTGGGACATAGTGAACGTTCGCACTGATTTACACCGGTATCACGTTAACTCTGAGGTTCGTTTACATCACTCTTTATCTCCCTTGTTCCTCGAGGAATCCCATAATAATTTTGAGGTTCAAGACATGTTTCTGGATCGCCTTAGTTTCATTGTTAAACATATCTACCATCTTGGACACCACCTTATCGCATGGGTATGCGATTGAGTTCAAACAACCGAACCATTTATTCATCTTGTAAACCATACGCTGCAAGATTTTCCTCTCTGGCCCCCGTCACATTCATTGCACAGGTGTCCAGTCGATTACCCATAATGAACGACTATTGGTCACGCAGCTACTTATAGTACGACCACTGATATTCAGCTATATTAGATCTTTGCCTACGTCAGCTCCGATAAGGAAGACTTAATAACGATACCTAAGATATGCTTGAATAATGGCTTTCGCGGCCACATATTTATACCCAACTTTACAGCTACGGCAGGCGCAAATCTGGCAAAGTTCATCGCCCAAACTTTGTAAACTGGAGGTTTTTAAATCTCAATACGTCCTGCAGACGGACCTCATGGGGTTGACAATGCCACCAAAATTTACGTGTAAGCTAACATCGTTTCAAAAAGTGGCGAAATTTTCGATGCTTGTCGACGCCTTCTGCATACATATTCTATGACTTCGTATGTAAATGGCTGTCCAATTCCTGAGTTAAATCGATTTGCCTTACCCGTTGACATCTCTGGTTTCAACAATGCCGGTCATGTGACAGTATCTGGAAATTCTGTCCTTACAAGCGGAATCCATTTCCGGGTGACTGTTCGCTTAAAACAGTCGTGCCCGTAAGGCAGCACATGAACACACATAGGGACACACTGGCAAGAAAATCTTTGGAGGTGGATTTAATCTGTGTTTTGTCGGGATTGCAGTAGTGTAGCACGGGTTTTGCGTTGCTATTTTTCCCATGATTCGAAAGAGGTTTGAGAAAGAGAGACCCATTGCATGTGACAAGTTACGGCAAATTTCGATTTGGCAGCGTACCGGTGAAACATCCATCTCAACTATGCTATCTAAGTTTTCCAAACTAAAGGAAATGAATTCAATGGAAAATAGACACATTGGGCAGGCAGTCTGCTTCAGTGCGATTGTTTTATACCACCCGGAAATGTCTCCCGCTCTTCGGACATTCGTCGGCTGGGCAGGAATGATTGGCGTAAAACAAACTGAATGTACCGTGTGGCACAAGTCTGGCGCGCAACAACTACAATAATCTGCTTAAATTGAAATAGTTCGTGAATTTTATTGGATCTTGTCAAGTGATAACGATAGATGTGACCGGTTCGCTACGATACACCTTATTAAACGCTTCATAATGGGGATTCTGTTGAAAAATGATACCATGATGTTATCTTGAAGATAAGCGGTTAGCCACATGACCTGACTTGCGTTACAGTAAGCACAACTCTGCTACTATCTGCAGCGCCAAAGTTGAGTGTCTCTGAGCTTGATAGTAACACAATTCACTTGGCTCTTTTTGTAAAACCCTCCCTTGTCCAAAAAGCATGTATTCCACTATCTTAATAACTGACAAGTTTTGATAATACATAAGAACATCTCCAATGTTAAGTTGACCTCTTCGGTGAGGCGAACAACAGAAGTCGTACAACTATCTAGATAAGTAACTTGTTCACCAACTTCAAGTGGTTGTTCGATTTTGATTAGAGCCTATGGTGAATGTGCTTAGTCTGAAGAAGTGCTGTGCACATTGAAGGTCTGGGGCACACATCGATGAGCGAAGCGTCCTGCGCTAGTGTTTTCTGGAGCTCAGCTATGTTGGCTTAGCTCTAACCTGTGAGAACCATATCGCCTCTGTGCTCTATCGTTGATACTAAAGGGTCCGACAAACTTCCACCCCAGAGCTGATGAGGTAGGCGAAAGTTATTACTGACCACTTCGATCGAGAGCTTGAGGATAAGTGCATCGATTGGAGAGCTTTGACATTGTTCACTTGTGACGAGCCCTGGTGACAGTATCCCGTACAGCCTAGGCTGCGAGCCACAACCATCTACATATAATCTCGACAATCTGAAATGTAGCCGCCAAATAAGGAAAGCCTATCTTGGTAGGCTGTTTGTAAGCACTTTAGTGCTGAGGCAGTTTCCAAATAAAGTGGTCCGTACATCTATTTTATGTTGAATACCTGCTTGACTCTCAGTGATTCATGTCTCATGGGGATCATGTGCCGCCGCGGTAAATGATACAGGAACGCAATTTGGATGCAGTTGAGATCAAACTAATCCCAACGCGCTTTGCAAATGGCCTTTTTTGGCCAAGGCTAGGAACGGGAATGAAGGTTGACGGCCGTTAGTGCGAGTTCACGTTCTTCTTGTGCCAAAGTTTGTCGAACAAGCTAGTCACTTGTGATTCATCACTATCTCTCATCATGGACGATGGAAATTTGTCGGGCCATGAGTGTTATCCCGATTTAGCTACTCTATCTTATTTTGTAGCTCATCAGTAACACATTTTATCACACCGACTTTCCAGGTAGATTCAGTACACCAGTTACCCATTCTGCAACGTTAAGCCGGTTGAACTGCTTTCGAACCATTCAGTGCAAATTACAAGCCGATGTAAATGAGGGAAATTCAAACGTCCACTCCTTTCAACCATTGCTTCACTCATGGAAGTCTCTCGGAACAGTGTGGCCAATAAACTGGAACCGAACGCAAGTATTCACAACGTCGCTGGTATATCACGGGTCTAACTGATCATAGAAACCTACCAACGTACGATTCTTTGGTGAGACCCCTACTCATAAGATGTTACAAGGTTTTAAAACACCATGTGACTGATATCCCGACGCAGAGTACTTCAGCCCCGAGTGAATGTAAACTCATAGCATGTGTCACCGGTTGTATGAACTGATACAGTGCGTGATTTTTAAGAAGTCCGCGGTGGAATGGCACCCTCCGTTTGATGGGTAACGCGACCTCGTTGCTATTGAGATTGATGAAGTTAGCAGTGGTCTCGTACTGACGCATCTAAGGTGATACTTGATGGAATAAACGGAAAGAATGAAGGAA